GTTCGCACCCTGCGGTGTCACGTATCGACATCGGCATCCGCGGATCGACTCGAAATTTGCTCGGCTGAGCTACGTTCTCGACTCGTCTAGTCGAGACGAGACGAGATGAGGCGACGCGACGCGGCGCGGCGGATCGATCGTGACGCCGGGGTATGAAATCGGTAATGAGCTGTAAATCTCCGGCTATAGTACATCGGACCGCGTGTGCGGGTGAGTCACACGCGTCACGGTACGGATACCGACGATGCCCGCCGACGACACACACGCGCGAACGTACACGTATGCACATAATATACGTAGACGGGCACCTTCCTCGGCGTATTCTTTTCCCTTCGGTAGAAAATCGAAGGAAAGGATAATAAGCGAGAAATACACTCTCTCTTACCCGCCGGCCGGTTCCGTGGTTGGCCGCGCGCGCGTGGGCGTAAACGAGAGAGAGGGCGAGAGAGACAGAAAGAGAGACGGAGAAAGAGGTACGGTCGGGCGGATCAAGAGAGAGAAGGAAAGAGAAAGACTAAATAAGAGAGAGAGAGAGAGAGAGACGGAGCGTGGATCGAGCAGAGGCGATTTTCTGAAAAATCCATGGTGAAACCTTCGTTAACGTCGGTTTAGACCGCGCGCGCTCACGTGCCGTCCATCGCCCGCGGGAGATAATCCCGTTTCGATCGAATCGACTCGAAAATCGCCGATACCGCGGCGAAAGCGGCCGCCGCCGTCGCGATTTTTAGCCGCGAACGAGCGCGACGAGCATTGGAGAACGGGCTTAATTGAAAGTACTGTTCGCGTATTATCCGTTTGCGTCGGGTCGTTCGTCCGATTCCTTCATTTCCATCGTCGTGAAAACGTCGTCGACACCGAAGCGACGAAGATGAAATGTCCGGCGTTTGTGCGCAGAAGGAAAGAATTTGATCGAATTGGAGCCAAATATCTGGTGAGACCAACTAGAACTCCGGTTGAAGTCACCAGAATTCTGTACTCAAGTCTAGATTCTGATTAACCAGGTTCTGAATAATCTTGTTAACTTGAACAGAACTCTAGTAGAACTTCAGCTGGAATTCTGATTCGATCATACTTCATCAGATATTTGGCTAATTAAAGTGACCGAATTTCCCAGCTCCAAATCCGGGACGCTTCATAAATATTTAGAGTGGGGTGGGAGATATGGCTTGAAATTATATACATATATGAAACAATATTTTGCTTATAAACATATAAAAAATAACATGACAATAATGAAGATCAACTATTAAGATAAAACTGCTGTTATTCTTCCTTAAAGTTAAGAAGAAGAAGTTAAGTTACTGCATTCATCAGAGTTACCGTGAGTTTCCTGCATTAGAAACATTTAAGAAATTCTCCGCATAATAGCATTCGAGAAAACCGGGAGATTTGGTCATCTTAGGTCAATCCGGCCAAGTTTTATTTCCCGCATGCGAATGAAACGACTGATTATCGCGCTTGGCCTGCCGCTTCGGCGGCGGCATCGACGGAAGATGCTCGTGCTTGACGAAGCGAAATCGTCCTCGGGAACGATCGCGCGAATGACTATCTGAAAATCGTCGGCGCGGAGCCGCGCACGCGATCGATGCGCGGTGTCGTCTTACTTCGCGGCAACGAGGCGTGTACGCGTCGGGATCGAGAAATGGGCCGGGGACGACGTCACGCTATTCTCAATTATGCGAGTAATAACAGTTCTGGCCCGACCTCTCTGACGCATACAGGAATCCGACGATTAAATTCGTCAAGTCCGCACCTGCGGAAAATAACGCGACGTGTGCTATTAGCCGCGTGAGCGAGAGCTGACGTGAGAAGACAAAAGTCTCGTCGATGATGAGTGCCTTCGCGCTCTCCCGTGCGTTCGGACACTCGCGCGTCTCGTTGTTGCCATCGTCGTCGCGTCGCCATCCGAATCGCCGAGTTTCCCTCTCGTGTGACCTCCGACAGCTTCCTCTTCCCGGTACTCTGAGGAAAGAATGTTTCATATATATTTGTATAGTAGATATATTTGTAGCTATAATCATATGTAGAAATAAATAATATAGAGTATAGATAATATCATATAGAGTAAAATTATGGTCAGGAAAATCATTTCTTTTCTGAATTTTCTACTATAATTAGGGACTATGTTAGGAACAATAACCTTGTATATACATTATTATTATTGTTTTATTACAAAAAATATAGTTGAGGCTGAAAATAACTGTAACTTTAGTTGGATTAGCTTTTTTTTATTGAATTCTATTGTAATGTTAATGACATTATCTTGTATGTATGTCACTGCTATCGTTTTATTACAAAAAATGTGGTTGGGGCCAAAAGTAACTAAATTATAGTTGGATCAACCAACTTTTCTTTCAGTGCATAAAATCGTAGCCCTCTGCGATCCTGTGATCGCAATATCGTGCTTCCTTCTACTTACTGATATAAATTGATTTTTCATTCATTGACAGTATATCCGATATAAATACCCAAACTACACACATGTTTAAAATCTATATCGATAATTGTTACTTGGAACTCGCCTCCAGTGAGATATTCAGATTTGAATTCAGAGTTAGGTGAGAATTTTTCAGTTCAATTGCGATTACAGATTTCACATATATCGTAATTCAATTGACAAACTTGGATCTGACTCGGAATAAGAATCTAAGTATCTCACATGAGACAAGTTTCAGATGAAAATTATTAACACGAGCTTGAAAGACGGAAAATAACAACAATGCCTGCTGCACAGAATATAAATAGAAACTATTGCTAAGATAAAACCGTTGTTACTTTTATTTAAAATTAAGAAGTGGCAAAGCTGCTGTACTTGCCAGAGCTGTGAATTTTCTAGAGATGATCTTGTTGTCAGATGGATTTAACAAGTTCTCTAAACTCCGGGACAGTTTGTCCCGAATCCGGGACAAAGGGTGGAAAACCGCGATTGACTCTAGTCACCTTACTGTTTCGCAATTGAAACACATCGGCGAGAACAACGCGATCGACGAAAGTCGGGACGGTAGTTGCATCGTTAATTTGGCGCGGATCGTCAACCCCTTTGTCGTTGGCTGCGATTCACGTTAGCGCGACGTGACAGAGCACGCGATCGGCTGCGAGACGAGACGGAACGAGTCTTCCAGCTGCCTCGCTGGATCGCGCAGAAAATAATACCGATCGTACGTACGTACACGCACCGCTCGTCGGGAAACCCGCGACGTTAGAAAGTATGCCGTAATATTGATTTATACCTCGCCGATTTACCGAGAGAGATATCCCCGCTGCATCGCGGACAATCCCTCGCGGTTAATCGCGCGCTCATTACGAGCCGACGAACGACAACCGCGACGGTAGGTGCGTATTATGCGCTCTCCTCGCTTGTGACTCCGCGCAATCCGGAGATGCGTATCGCGCGCGCGGAGGCGCAGGCACAGAGCCGTGCGCTGCGACGCGCACAGGTACGAAAACAAGCGGCGCGAAGACTAATAACTTAGCGATTTTTCGCGCGGCGTCGTTACGCGCCGCGCGACACCGCGCATTGCATTCCTTGACTTTCATGCGTCGGCATCCTCGCGCGACACGGAGCCGACGAACATCGCGTCGGTATCGATCTGGCATTATGATTATTATTGCGTTATGCGTCTCTCGTCGTGTATGTATGTCTCGTGCGCGCGCGCGCACGCGGATTGAGAGCTCCGTTAGCGACACGTATGCCGCGTACGTCGCGCCGCGAGATTTTACGATTTCGTCGCGCGTACGCAACCTGTGCACGCGGAGATCACCGTCGGCGAGCAGCCCGCCCGCGCTTCGCAAAGCCGTGGTTCAACTTACCCCGGCGTGTAGAGTTCCTCACCCAAAGGGGGACAAATTTGCACAATCACATATTGCATATGTACAGAGAGAACGATTTGGTTGAATCAAATAAACACTTCTTTGGAATAATCCAAACGAATTTTTTGATTGATCGAAGGAAATTTTATTTGACGCAACAAAAAATATTTATTTGCGGCTTAGTTCCAAAGAAATATTTTTGTCGTCAACCAAATAATTTGTTTGGACTATTCCAAAGAAACATTTATCTGATTCAATAAATCCCTCTTTGTGTGCATAAAAAAATTAACCAATTATAATTCACTGCAATAAAAGGATATATGTCTCTTATATCAAACTCGATTGGTCGATTTCATTGTGTATACGCACTATGTAAGTTTGTCTGAATAGTTAGGACATCACGTGATGATTGGATCTGTCATTAATAGGGAGAAGCGAATAAGAGTGAGAAAGAAACTCTAATAGAGATAAAGAGAGAAAGAGAATTATAAGACTGAAAGGACGAAACATGTTGCAATTTCCTGTATAGAAATATTTCTCAATATTTTCCTAGATACAACATAAATTCTACTTAAAATGTCCAAATTTGCTCCAAACATGAGTCCTCCGCGTAGAATCGAAACAGAATTTAAGCGATTCATGCTTTTTTTCGTTGATATATACTTCTATGATATCAAACAAGGAATCCCATTTTTATATCAACTACTATTACAATAAAATAGAATATATAGAATAGAATATTTTTAAAACACTGAGCATATTTTAAATAAATTTCCACAAATTTGTCGAAAAGAAAAGTCGAAAATAATTTGGATAGCAAAGGGTAAACATTTGCCAGGCTAAAATTCATTTGTGATATGAATTATGTCCATCACGTCTGGATATAATATGATAAGATGTGATATGTATTTCAAGCTGTCATAATGACGGATTAGTTGAATAATCAACATTCATAATGTAAACGCGTATGCAGATACGATGCAAATAAAGACTAGTGACTTTTAATTTGTAATAATTGTTATATAAAACTTGTCTCCCATGAGACACTTAAATTTGAATTTATAATTAGGCCTGAGTTTTCTACTTTCAACATGTAATGATGACATTGTATTTACAAACGCGATTTGTAACTGAAAAACTCATATTTAATTCTAACCTCGAATACGAGTATTCTCTTGAAACAAGTTTCAAGCAATAACTATTAATAAAGCTTTATTAAAACTTAGGATAGAATCCATTAAACTACTGAATAATAATATTATCTGGAAAGTCAAAATGTTGTCTCAACTCCAACGTAAAATGAAAACCTGAAAGATATTGAAAAAACTTTAGATTCCCTCAATTAGAATCGCATGTTTGAAACATTACACTTCTAACCAGAACCAGAACCCATAATTATTTTGGGAAAATCAGGCTGGATCTCTCAATTAGATCTCAAGAAATTTTCTACGCGGATTCTCTCTCTCACTCACTCACTCACTCACTCACTCACTTCTTCCCTATAAATGGCGGACAGTACCTTAACTGTTACCTAGAGGAACTCTACCCTGGCGTTATCGCGGGCGTTCTCGTTCGCGTCGCATCACGGCGCAAGTCGCAACGCTCAGTACGAAAACAGCCGCGCTCTCGTTATCACACGCGACTCATGGTCGCGCGAAGTCTTCCCCGATGTCGCGTTGTGTCTCCGATTGACGGCGCGCGCGCCGATAAGAAGCCAAAGTTACGGAGCTTTAATTCGGCGGACAATCACTCCCCGACAAGTGTCCGATTACGTTTATCGCGAGGCGCGGTAACCGGATAATCAGCCGCGACACGTGACCGCAATGAGCCACAGTGCTATCCGGTTTCGTAGGTCCCTACGTCGGGACGTTTCGTACGTAAGATCCTGCGCTTAATTGCGTCTCCTCCCGAGGAGGAGCGGAGAAAAAGCGGCCGTCTTTACCGCGTGTATCGTACGCCGCTGGGACCTGGCGTGTGCGAGCGCGCGTGGATAACCTCTCTGGTAATTTACGGGCGATTGGGTTGCTTTACGATATCGCTGCTTAGCGGCATGATTAACGCCCGATCGCTCGAACAGCGGATATACGCGATGTCCGAGCCGGTAGTCGGCGATTAATCCTCCTTCCCTCCTCCCTTCCTGCCGCGCTATCTTGAGAAAATTAAAACTAAAGTACAAAGTTGTTTCCCTCTCTTTCCCTCCCGCGATCGCACGAACGAGTTGGACTTATCAACGGTTAATTAGATGACAGTCGGCCATTTTGCGTAGACATCGGCCGTAGACATTCACAGTCGGCGTTAAGTGGCGTAAGTATTTACGAGTTACGCGTCGCGATCGGCTTTCCGCGTACTCGTCTGTTGTCGCGCGACTCGCTTATCGTCGATAAAACGATCGCCAATTGCCTCGCGTAATGAGATTACGCCAGGCGATTCCGCCAACGCGCTTTGTCGCGTCGAATAAGAACGTTTTATCGATCGCTGTCTGCTTTTTTGTTTTCCTCGCGGACGATTAAAAGGTGCGCGAGATGGATGAACTCGAATTCAGGAATGAATATCATCCGTGCGAGTGAATGTTTTGGTCGCTCGGAATCAGTTAGACTACTGAATAATGAAGCTATGGATAATCGATTTGTTTTGTTCAATTCGATTTCTTCACTTATCGTATGTTTGAAACACTTCTAACCAGAACTCGTGATTATTTGGGGAACAATTTCTGTGAATAAATTTCCTTTGTGCAATTGAATTTAACAAATTATGCGATCTCTGCTTTATCGTGGTGTTTGAAGTCGTACATTGCACTGACAAAAAAATGTTTATGGTATTTGTAGCTACTTACATAGAGAAATAATTATCATAAGTAATAGCTAAGAAAGTCATTTTTTTATTAAATTTTACGATAATGTTAGTAATAATAACTTTATATGCATGTTACTACTATTTTTGCATTAGAACGACCAAAAATATGATTGGGGTAAAAAATGACTATAATTTTAGTTAGATCAGCATTGAGAAAAAAATATTTGAAAATTTATTTGTGTGAGATAAAAGTTTATTTTATAAAAATTGACTTTATTTCAGGGAAATATACTTTATTTCACAGAGATATAAACTTTACATCCCGCAAATAAATTTTCAAATATTTTTTTCTCGGTGTACTATATAAGAATGCAAAATGCAGAAACAAAGCACATTCAACAAAATATTCACATTTTGAAACATTCGCGTAATTATACATATCAATCTTTGCATTGATCAAATTATTTTCAATCTTTCGCACAATTCCTGTGATAACTGAGTGATGAGGTTTACTCTTTAGTTTCTCCACTCGATTTAAAATAAAGAATCCGCTACACACGAATGAAAAGTCACTCGAATTCGAGTTTGTCACTCTGCTTTTCGAGTGGAATTTCACTCGGGGAGTATGGATAGGTTTCACTCGCTTATAACGATTGCAATCAATCCTGAATTTATATATCTACAATTAATTATAATTATAATTAATTATAATATAATTATAATTAATTATAATATAATTATAATTAATTATAATATAATTATAATTAATTTTAATTCAGCTCCTAATTCGCCCGGCAGTCGTTGACCGATCTTTCGATCAAAGTGCACGCGCCCGAATTCTTGGTCCGTCCGTCTCTCCGATCCGGACGTCGATGTCAGGAAAAAGGAACGATAATTTAATGATCTCTCGTTTTCGTAAGGCGGTGTCTCACGCGCGGGCGATTATAGTTATTTCACAGATACCTTTGCACGACGGTTATTAACGCTCGATCGGCGCAGCACGGATAGAAGTCGATCGGTATCGTTCCGCGAGAAAGAGAGAGAGAGAGAGAGAAAGAGATCCAGATGCCGATCGTTATCTAACAAGACTTTTCGAGCCCTTCGATTATGTGAGCCCCCTTTAACCCGCGGGAATTAAGTGGACACTTTCATTAGCCGCGACTTGAAACGGCAATTAGATCGCGACGGGGGCGGCGGGAAGTTACATAACGCGGGATTTACTTGTACCGTTAGGTATTCGAACGTGCGATTTGAAAGTCATTAAAGAAACCTCGCTCGTGGACGATTCAGCTCGATTCTTTTCCGTCACGACGACGCGACCGTAAAACTCGATCACGCTCGAAGCCGACGTAAACGTAATGTGCAATCTTTTTATCAGATACTTTTTATCAGATAATACTAAACAGATATTCGTTGTTCTCAATACGAAGAGAGTATTATACAATAAAAATTACTATAGAATTTTGTAACCGTAAAATAGATTTATACATATATTGCAGATTCACTATCCTTTCGTTTCATCTGTGCTATTAAAAAATTCGCTGTTTCTAACGAAATTTGTTTTGCTTCTAGCTAGAAATATAGTGAATTTCATTATTGATTATTATCAATTTCTTCTTTATTATCAATTACTATTTATATCCTTTGAGCAAGATAGTCTCTACTAAGACAATCTATTTCTGCACTATTAAAAACACACTAAAATTGAGAAAATTTTATATGAAAAAAAAAACTGTATAATATTCTCTCTGTGTAAATTTTTTGGAGTGTGGTCTCACTAAAAACGAGTAAAAATTGAAATAAAGATATTATGCCACTTATAAAGACTTAATCTTAATAAGACTTAATTACAAAAATTAAACTCAAACTTAGAGTAAATTCTTAATCCATAATGAATGAATATTTCTCACTGAATTAGAGTGAATTTGTTTCTATGACGTAATATTTGAATTCGCAGTATCACTCGAATTCGAATAACGACTCGGCTGTTACTTTATCCTTTAATAAAATTCCATACTCCATGAAATCTACAAGGTTCCGCTTCATACCGTAATCATGCGTCTCGTTACAAATCGATAGGCGGGGGTAGCTCATTACGCTCTCGCCGTTTTCAATCGACAACAGTCGTTGACCCGCTAATAGCGCCGATCGATCATCTCTCCCCCAGTGTGCACACGTCATTACCACGTCGAGTAAACGAATTTGCTCTTCTGTTTAGCAGGCGGAGCGCGCGCACTCGAGTGGATACGACGTCGGAGGATCATCGCGTGTCATCGTGAGTGTCGTTCTCGCGTCCTCTCATACGTGCGCAGAGTGCGAGTGAATCGATAGAATCGAGATAAAAACAGGAGCAAAAGGAAGAGAAACAAGAGGAACAAAACTGTCGTGGGCGGACCAAGAGGGAAAAAGAGAGAGAGAGAGAGAGAGAGAGAGAGAGAGAGAGAGAGAGAGAGAGAGAGAGAGAGAGAGACACAGATTGAGAGGGAGAGGGGAGGGAGAGTGTATCAACGCGTGTGTGAAATGGATGGTACGCCAAGGAAAAGCGAAGCAGTGCTAATATATGGATGCCCATGGGTGGAACTTGGCCGAAATGTGCCAGCGCTACCATCACGCTGTACCGGCGGCGCAGAGTTCGCCAGCTAGGGATCCCTCGGCTGCCATCGTGCAAGGCCTGTCAACCGCCGCGCACATCGATCAAGCCAGCCCGTCTTATTCCCACTACACGTGAGTTCACTTCTTCTTCGTTTTTTATCTCTCGTACTTACTTCACAAAATCAAACGTTCGCGATAAATCCGTCGAAGCGACAATCTCTCGCACGTTCCGTGGGATGAAACGCGTACGATCAGAGGTGCTGGCCGTTCGACACACGCGGGAAAATATTCTAATTGCTGGGAAAGGCAGAACCCTAATCTAGAACCCTAACCTTCTATATTCTCGATCGAAGTATCAAACTTATCAGGATTCAGAATGAAACAAGTAACATTTATTCGAATGCAATGCGAAGTTTTGTGTGAACGCGAAGCCCGCTCATTTTACGGTCGCGAAAATTCGTCAACAGCGCGCGAAACGGAAGGAGAGGAAGAGAGAAAGAGAGAGATATAGAGAAAAAAATCGTTCTAACCAGGCGAGGCCGCATTTCGATGGTTGAGCGCGTGGCCGGGCCCGGCCAGGGTGGGGGTGGGAAGGGGATACGGTCTTATCGCGCCGGCCGGGCCGCGTTCCCAATTGTATCGTATATATTAATAACGATACGGCGAATTAGGGATAAGTATACGACCGCGCCGGTCAGGCCCCTGGTAATCCTGTTATTAGCGCGGCGATTAGGGCAAGATGATCCCCGGGCAAATTGCAGGGGCGTATACCGCGCGTGTTTGGTTAACATAATCGCCAATCGGTATCGCCGTTCCCCGTGCGAGTCCCCCACGAAGGGAGAAAGGCGATGAGATGCGCCGCGTCCTGTCGCGTCGCGTCGCGCTTCTCTCACCCTCGCGCGCGCGTCGTTTCCCTGTTATCTGTATTTTCTTAACCGACTGCCCGAACCGCACCCCCGCATCGGCCCCTTCCGTCGCTCCTCGCGCCGGCTCCCCTGCGCGTGTCCTCGAGACAGTGTTAGTGTTGTTGGAAATCCATTAAATTGCAGTTTACGCTCGAGATTCAATGTTTCACTATCATTACGTCCGTGCTGCGAAGGCAAAGAGGATAAAAGTGGCCTTCCCTCTCTCTCTTTCTCTTTCTTTTCCCTTTCTCCCTGTTCCTCTCTCTCTCTCTCTCTTTCTCTCTTTCTCCGCTTACCGACCCTTTGGGACTGTTAAGGAGGAGGTTGGGAAAATAGCATGCGCACTGCCGCGCCGCGGCATGCGTCTCTAACGTATCGTGTAATTTCAGCTATTTCTTATCTCGTTTGCCCGCGGTCTTATTTGCTCGTTGCCCTCCTACGGCGGTCCGCGTGATGCGCCGCACCACTCGAGAATTTCATTTTTTACCCGCTGCGCCGATCTACCGTGCGATCTTTTTTCAAATCCCTTCGAGATCCGACCGGAAACAATGAGGGGAACGTTAAATGTTACAGAGTACCGTAGTCAAGAAGGTCAACGCGAACCGCTCGTTCTCGAGCGACGTGGATATTCATCGACGAGAGACTGCAAATATCTGACGTCTTCAATTCGCGAACACAGTTACACCTTAATTTCTGTTAACACACACGGGACACGTGTCGCACGGTTAAAGAGAGAGAAAGAGAGGGAGAGAGAAAAAAACCGAATCACAGAATCACCGCGTGACGGAGATTTTTTTTCGACCGCGGCGGTTGCTGGCGACGAAAATCAGCTCCATTACAATGGTTCCGTCCGGTTCCATCCGTTGCTCCCGCTCGGCCGTCGCACGGATCGCGGACCATGTCACGTTATTTCATACGTACACACGCACGCTAGATATTCCGGCAGATTTTGCGCGAGACTCTAGTCTGCAGACGAAGGAGAAAAAAGAAATCTCCAAGTAACCTGAGACTATATCGTGCCACTCATTATTAATTTATTTATCTTAGCCGAAATTCATTGAGTTGTTTGAAAGGTACACTGAAAAAAAATACTTGAAAATTTCCTCGTGAAACGTAAAGTTTATTCAGGTATTCGTTCACATACAGAGATAAAATTTATATTCCACTGATATCCCCTTCTTGGCTAAAAATGTATGCTAAAGGAATAAAGATGTGTGTGTGTGTATATATATATTTCACTGATATACTTTCAAGTATTTTTAAAATTTCTTGGAGTGAAATCTCACTTGAAACGAGTGAAAGGTGATAGTATTTTCACACTTGAGGTAATAGTGAAAATACTACCATTCAAAGTTACAAAAGTGAAGGTTTCACTCGGGCTTGGAGTAAATTCTGACACTATATCGTGAGAGAAAAAATATTTAAAAAATAAGCAATATTTATTCGATACGTATTAGTAACACATTTATTTCGATCTAAATTCTTTTATTTAAATGGAACAATTGTTGTCATGAAAAGCTAAGGAAAACGTATATTTTTCTATTTGAAAAATATATTATATTAGTATAAGTAGCAACATTATTATATGTGTATATGTATGATATTTACTGAGTAAATATCTTTTACTTCTTAGATATGTTTTCTCTCAGTGCATGAATGAATGTTTCTCAATCGATTGAATTTGCCCCAATACATTGTAAATTCATTCTGTTTAATCTCGAGTGCAAATATTCATTCGACGATTCAGAGTAGAAAATTCCGCATGAGTGAGAAATCACTCAAATTCTGAGAGCAGAAAGTTTCAAATTTGTGGCTCTGCTTTTTTACTCTACTTAACGTTAATTTTTACTCGAATTCGGAATAGTTTGAAGGAGAACCGAAGGAAATACTGCTCGCGCGATATCTCGTGGGCAATCGTGAATCTATGAATCTTTTTACGACATTGCGCAGCCGCACAGAGTGACTCGGAGATCCTCGCCGCGCGCGAGCCCGAGCTTTAAACACCGCCGCACGCAATTCTGTAATAACGCCGATACGTGCCCACATGTTGATCGATTCTCGTATTTACGAGGCTGAAATCAAAATGTTTAATCGCGAGTCGCGAGAGTGGCCCCCGATCGGCGAACTATTCGCCCCGGCCGTTTTCTCGATTGGCCTCTGCTCCGCTCGCGCAGAGTCCTCTTCGGGAACGTCGTGCGTTCAGTTCCCACTCGCATTCCTTTCAGCCAAAGCTCACGATCCCGATCATTAATTGGCAATATCAACGGCGCGCGTATTGTCGCGTTGCTCCAATGATACTCAAAAAAATCGTGCTAAACCAGGCACAATTCGAAATGTCACGGTTAAAATTTATCGCTGCTTTTTGCATTCGCTGGAAAATTGTGCTGTAGTACGTAGAAATTACAGCAAACAGAGCAAATTTAGGTGAGTGTAAGGATTATACATTCATTTGTCTTCTCGTCGCTAGTCTTTCTTGCCTACCATAGTTAATTTTTGTAAGAAGTGTGATTGGCTTTGATATGAACAAAACGCCGCACAGAGAACGGACTTTCTTGTTAAATTTCACGAGTGATTCAGATAGAAATTCGGTCTCTGTCACCTATATCGACGAAATGCTGAACGTACGCGATATCGCAGCGTTTGCTAGTCATTTATCTCAGCTGATTTCTTGTGACCAGATAATTTTTGCTGTGGCTGCAAGAGCATTTTTTGAGTACGAAAAGATTCACGCCGACGACGGATGAATCGCACGCGTTCTAAGTGTAACTTTACTTTCGTTTTCTTACGTGATAAGAATTAATATCTCGCAGTGATCGTGAGCGCAAGCATGTGTGTGTGTACGCGCGCGCGTGTGTCGGTTAGCTTACCCGAGTCGCAGCAGGCTCAATTTGCAAACATCGATTATATCGACGAAACGTCGATAATTCCGTGAACGACACGCTATACGCCGCCAGCGTATGCACGACTCGGTTTTTCCACGGCGCTTGTGCGTTCGCTGGGAACGAATGTCGCCATCGTCGCGAACGACTCTTCGAAAATGAGCGATTGCAAAAACGTCTTTTCTCTGCAAAAACTTTCCTCAGATTGAACCTCATAAAAATGAACATTGAGTCAACGCCAGATGTTTGATTACTGTTTATTCATTTTATAATTAGCTCGACAACACCCAGAAAATATTCCTTAGCGGAATCTTCTTATATATGGCCTTAAGAGGATTCTTCTCTAAAGTCAAGAGGAAAATATTCTTCTTCTTGTTAGAAGAAGAATATTCTTTTGACAAAGGTTCTCTCGCGGAATATGGGATTAACATCTAGCAACTGAAGTTCCTTCCTTTTTTTGGGATGTAAGAATATTTTCCTCTTGAAAAATCCTCCCCACATAAGATTCTGCTAAAAGTGAGATTATATTTTATTTTGGTGATACGCAACAAATTTTATTCTAATTTTCATTACATTGTACTTTCAAATCTCGTGCATTTTTAAATTTTTGCCTCACTTTTTCTCTGTGTTGATTTTTATTTTACTAAAAATGAACATCAATGTATTTAGTCGAGTGCTTGATTATTTTTTATTCACTTTACAGTTGACTCTGCATATGTAACAACTTCTACTATAGACTTTACTGTAGTGTACTCTTCAACTTTGTCTATTTTCTCTATTTCTATCTCACATTTCTTCTGTCGTAATTTTTACTTGATTAAATATGAATTATTCTACTTTCTACTACACTGTACTTTCAATTCTCGTTCACTCTCTCTTCGTTTTTGCTTCACTTATCTTCTGTGTGAAAATTGTCATCTTATAATCAGGTTTTCTACGACATTCGTGGGCTCGCTAGGAGGGACGCTCGTTTTTGCGTCATCGCGAACGACTGTCCGAGCGATTCCTTTTTGCGACACACGCGTGACACGCTGTGGATTTCCCGTGAATTTTCAGCCAGGTATCTCGTGGCGCTTTTTACGGCTTTACTGCGGTGCGCCTGTATGCGAGATCGTAGGAGCGTTTACGGGACGATGACGTCGCGTCTGACCCCTGCACGTCGTGTGTACTCGTGGTCATCGACGACCTTGTAATTTCTGCGATTGCGGTGACTCAGATATCGCTGACTTGACGATTAAACAACGACCGCCGCGGCGTTAATTACGGATTAACGTCGCGGTTATAGTTATTTCGGCGTGCGAAATGCGCCGACGCGTTCCTCTCCAACGGAGCGCGCTCGTTCGCGTTT